ACATATAAATCATTAGTCAAAACAAGGCTACATTTGATTGAATTATAAAAGGTATAATATGTGGTAAACTGAAGAGCCGTTTGGGAGCCGAAAGAGCCGGCTCTTCTTGGTGAGCCGAGCCAAATGATCCGGCTCACCAAGAAGAGCCGGAATTCCCATCACTATTACATTACTTAACTAGCTCATCATCGTCACCAGTCAGAAAATGTCCGTTAGCCGTGGGGCTAGTTTTCGCTATGTTAAACTCCATTGACTTATGCTAAAATGTTAGCGATCTAAAGGTCCGCTATTTTTGGCTGTTTTGGGTCGACTTCAGTTGACTGTAACATCGAAAAAATCTTCGAAATTGAATGTTCACAAAGCTGCGGACCGGTTATACACTCATACACGAGGGAACTAACATAGCTAATTTAACTAACGTTAGCTAATGTAGCTGGTGTAGTGCAGAGAGACGGGACATACGGATTAAGCAACTAGACTACTTATAGTGTACATGCAGAATTATTTCAATTTAAAATAGTTTTAAATGCTCACACACATACCTGACTCTGGTGCTGTATTTTCCTCTCGTTTCTTTTTAATTTTCCGTTTCGAAGCACCTGATGAACGCTTTCTCTTTGACACTCAGCGACAGAATCAACAGACAGAGGCAGCAACGCAGATTTGAATCTGCCAATCAGATCAATCTATTGCTGGAGAGGGGGGCGGGCTCCCCGAAATCAGCCGGAAGTGGCGCATTCGAATACTGTTTGGGCTGTCTGCCGTGGATGGGCTGCGTTCCACTCCAAATAGCCGGTCGGCCGTAATATATGCATAGATATATATGCGTGCATATATTCATATATATATGCGTGCATATATGCATATATATATATTTATATATATATATATATATATGAATATATATATGCGTGCATATATGCACGCATATATGAATATATATATGCGTGCATATATGCGTGCATATATGTGTGTGTCTATATATATTTATAAACTGTATATTATTTTCCATCATTCAATGGACAATTTGTACTTTTTTTATATGTAGGCTACCATCAAACATATGTTCATATATAAAGTGGGTAACTATACAAAACGAAGTGAGATAACTGTTTATGAATATCTGTTCAATTTTATGTAAACTCATGAAAGATAAATGAGTGTTTCAATAAAACTATTACATATAAATGTATAGTGCAGTTTTTGTTTTCATTGCAATATATTTTTTTTATATGTATCAATATATAGCCATACATGGTCCATGCATATATTGCAATATATTTAAAAATATAAGGACTACTTTCCCATATATGGAAATGTATGATCCAATATATTGTATTATATTTACCAATATATTACAATATATTTTTGTTTCATAATGTTGATTGTTAGGTCAAGAGTGGGACAATCTTTTCCCGGAAGAAAAAGCAGTTCATTCTTGTCAAGGTTGAGCTTGAGGTGGTGAGCAGACATCCACTGAGAGATGTCTGCTAGACAAGCAGAGATGCTTCATGGTTCTACACTAATTTACCTTATAGCCGAGGGTTAGATGAGGGGCTTAACCAAAGACCATTTTTAGCTTAGCATAATGAATGGAAGCAGGCGGGACAGCTATTCCAACAACTCCAAAAATCCTTTAATAACATCTATAGCGTTTAAGTGCTTAAGAGCTTTAAGTGTAAAATAAAAGTACTCATTGCCCAACCACCAAAATCCAATGCTCATGTGAACAGGGCCAAAATCCAAAACCAGATAAAATGGTTTCATTAACATCTAGTGAAGTCAGTGTGTTACCGCATAATGACGTGTGAACAAGATAAGAGAGGACTTGTAGACCAAAGCGACCAGGAACATTCATTGTAGTGTTGAGTCATGTTCTTGTGGCTGGAAACATTTGTAGTGTTTGTTCCCATATCTGACGTTTGCAATGATGACAAAGAACAATGAACAAACTTGATGTTCAGATAGCGCAGGCTATATATCATATCAAAGAATATAATTCACAATATTCAGTCATAAAGTATTAACCCTACAAGCAGACAGCTACAGTAAAACATGCAGCATGCCAGGGGAATGAGTTTGTGTTGAGTCTAGATGTCTTGTTTCAATGGTGATTATAACTGTGATGTGGATGAGTTAGTTTTTGTTTTTAGAATAATTTTTTAGATTTATGTCTGTATCCGTCAGTGTCTTTCTCACTGGGCTTAAGTGCCTCTAACAAGCACCCAAGGACAGAAAAACATTAAAATGTCTCTGTGACGAACAGCAGTCCACTGTAAAAGAGTAGTCACCCGGAAAGACACACACACACACACACACACACACACACACACACACACACACACACACACACACACACACACACACACACACACACACACATACACACACACACACACACACACACACACACACACACACACACACACACACACACACACACACACACACACACACACACACATGCACACATCCATGCATTCAGTCTTTAAAAAAGATCAAAGCTGTGTCTGTGATGTTCATATCTTCCTATCTTCAGTGCCAATCAAACTGTAGTGCTGCGTTTGATCATCCCTCACTGCTCTGTGATTAAAATGTTCAAAATGTATAATTTAAAGAAAACGTGTGTGTATGTGCATGACATCAGCAGACAGACAAACGCAGAATATCTGTCTGTTCTCACTCTCTTTCTTGCTTTTTGGCAGGAGATGTTTAGTTTGGCTTCAGTTCAGGCAGCAAAACACACTCACCATCTATAAACTCTCAGTGATCATAAGATACACTTGGCACATCTCTCTCGCACACATTCAGGACATTGTGTATCTGTCTACGTATATTCTGCATATTTTGCATTGCCAGTGTGTGAGCATCTTCCCATGCTTAAGTGTGCATATACACGTACGGTGTCACTGCTTTTCAGGGTCTTTTTAGGCGCGCATTTGTTAGTTTGTGAATGTGTGTGTTTGTTTGTTTATCTAGAGGGCACACCTCCAGCCCTGTGTACTGTGTACCAAGGCCTGAGGCACCGCCCTGAGGGTGTCTGTTTTGAACTACAGAATCAAACCGCACATGTCTTTCAACAGGGGTGTGTGTGCGTGTTTCTGTAATCTTGCATACAAATGCTTGAGTCTTTGTGGTTGAGTGATTACACAGGAAATATACAATTGCCTGTTGTCAACAGTATAATGCCGGTTAACACCTCTTAACAGGATAAAACACAGTATTACCTAGACAAATCTTTGACAGAGAGGGTAGCCACTTGCATGTGGCAGAGGAAGGTGGCAGGATGAACAACATTTCAAGTTCCCAATGGATTTAATGCTTCAATGTGCACAACACTTTTGAGTTAGAGTAAAGCTTAAGGGGTTGAGTTGTAAACAGATACACACACAGAACGAAAATATGGTACCAGCTATTAATGTCCATGCCTTGTTTCAATGTTGTAAAATTCTTTAGAAACACATTTACATTACCACTGAGAACACTTTAAAGGTTTCTTTATGATGTGAGTCTGTGCCAAGAAACATATTTTATGTATTTAAACCACAACATACAAACATTCAGAAGACAATTTGCAGGGTTTTATACAAAAAACAAATGCAAAAATACGACAAGACACTAATATAGCTAAGATATACTGTAGGACACATAACAAAAACGTTATGTAAATTGGAAAATTGTCAAATTCACACTTAAACACACATTGTGCTGTCTCATAAAGTTGTAAAGCTGTGTGTGTGTGTGTGTGTGTGTGTGTGTGTGTGTGTGTGTGTGTGTTTGTGTGTGTGTGTGTGTGTGTTTGTGTGGGTCTGCATGTATTGAGTCAGTATAGCTATTTCCTCTGCAGTAGCTGATACTGCGTGTGCCGTGACCGCCTGCACCTGTCACTGTACGTCACGCCACACACACACACACACACACACACACACACACACACACACACACACACACACACACACACACACACACACACACACACACACACACACACACACACACACACACACACACACACACACACACACACACACACACAAATAGCAGAGTCCTTGCAACTGGATGACTGGATACTCACAAAGAGCCTCTGTCCCATGGGCTTAGTTAAAAGGTTAAAGTTGCACAGTGAAAATAATCACATTTCCTGATCCCATTTTTTAGTTGACAAAGAACACTTTCAATACTTTTTTTCAAAAATTACCAGAGTTATGGTCATTCAAATCTTGCATTGGAAACTGATCTGATGACGATAAGCCTCTGGCGGCAATATTTCTCAGATTCTGGTGTAGAAAGCGGATATCAAGAATAAGAGTTGTTTATAGTACGGTTTGCAACTTGAGACGTCATAATGGAGTTTGAACTAAATGAACACTTCTAGTAACAGTTTCACATGTATGTTAAATTATTAATAAGCTAAATCATTGTACAGAATGGCATTGTGTTTCTATATTGCACATTGGCCAATATATTCAGCCCCTTTTTTTCCATCTGCAGGAACATGCAACCAAATCCTACTTATAGCGGATTGGTCAATACCTTTCTGACGGCCAATGGAAACTAGCACACTGCCAATACTAAACTTTGACCCACTGCCTACACATTCTGCAGATTCAGCATCTGCAATCATTTGTTTATAGAGGTTATGGTAACTTCTTATATGATTTATTAAAATGTAATTACAGAATGCTCCTTGGGGGTCTGTATCACTGTTTGTTTTATGCCAATTGTCAGTGTGTTTCAATGCTAAAATGTAGAATTTGCATTGCAGTATCTGGCACTTTTTAAAGGAAAGATTCGATAAGCATCCAGTCTAATAACCCTAAATGACCCTGGGCTGTTTGTTGAACGACATGCTGTGAATAGTACCCAGCTAATTTTAACCTTATTTATCTTTTTGTTATCTCTCCCTCTCTTTCTTTATGGCAGTCTGTCTCGTATGATCACACACCCATCCACCCACTCGATAAACACATAGCAGAGCAACAGATTCAGACATACACATGTCAAACTTCATTTTTTTATTCACAAAAAGATCCAACAGGTTATGAATAAATATTTACCGACATGAGATGTGAGTATGATGGAGGTAGAAAATTAAAAAAAGTTCCTCTTGTACACAACTACACACCCAAACCTACTTTTGGTTTTTACATTCAATTTTTCAGTTATGTCTCAGTACACACAAAGTATAAAATGAAAATTTGAGTGTAAACTCGAGTTTCAGTGCTGCTTAAACTCCACATGTATTTACAGACATAATACAAATTGCACAATAAAACAACTGTTCTTTTTGAGGCACAGATAAATAACTGAATTTTAAATTAAAAAACAAGTATTTTCCAACTTTCAAATAATCTGTGGACACATTACAGTACATTGAAAATATTCAATGGCACATTTCAAGCTCCGCACAAATAGTTAATCATCACATCACAGGTACACAAAACATACAGACAGACACACACAGAACATATTTACTAACAACTGCTAATTATTGACCTTCAATACCCAGTTCAGGTGTAAATTCATCTATACAATCATCCATACACATAAAAGCAGGGTTAGGGAGATTAATTTCAAAATGTAATTCGTCCTCTTGTGTAATGTGTAATGCAATCTAAATGTATATGCTAATGATTACTTTAATATAATTAGATCATTATTTGACATTAAAACCTATTCAAACACACCTTCATTTCAACTATGTTTTTGAGTAATGTCAAAAATAAGTTATTACCTTGCATTGTGACAGAAATTGTTATCAAGACAGAACCAACTGCCTGAAAATCCTCTTCCCACCCCTATCTGACCGATTACAATGTTATTAGAGGGACAGAGAAAATCAAAGCGTGGCTGCTGATGTTTGGAGCGATAAAGAGGCAGAAAATAGTTCCTGCAAATTTGTAATGGGAGAAAGCGAACACAAAGAAAGAAAGTTATGATAGTCACAAGTTTGGGTCTCAGATGTTTATCTTACACACAAATATACACCAGCAAATGATTTTGGACCTGCTCTGAGGTTTATCAGGAAGGAATGGAAAACAAAAATCTCAGGGGGATATTTATTATGAGTCAGCCTCAACTGAGACCCTCTGTTTCATATAAGACTGTTTAGCTACAGGGCAAACAACATTTATTTTTTTAATCTCTGCTTCATGGTGGGTTTGTGGCTTGTGCCTTTGTTGCTGGCAAACATAGTTTTCAGCAATGCAAATGTGATGGTTTCTGTTGAAAATATCAGTCAGGGTCTGAATACTGAATGCTTTTGATAACAAAAATCTGTTTTAATCTTCATTCATTCCTCCAGCTTTAAGTCAGACTATTTTTAATGCCGACAATTACTGCTGAACATGGTTTACTTGTGTAGCTGTTTTGAAAAAAAGAACAGTGACCACACGTTAACCCTCTGTAACACTGACTGAATAAACATATTAATATTGGCTAGCAACACTTCAAGCTACCGCCTAAAAAAACAACAAGTCTTTGTCAAACCAAAACAAACATTTTGAACTCCACCAAACTGATGTTCACAGCACGACTCGACTTTCACAATGTAAAGACTTCAGTTCAATTGAAGCCAGATTTTCCTTACAACTCCCGTTAGCAGAGCTGTTAGCCTGCCGGTTTGTCAGGGAACCAGGAGCTACCTCTACAACCTGGTCCAGGCGAGGAGTCGGAGGAGGAGCCAGACTTAGCGAGCTGTCCCGAATAGAGCTGTCCAAACTGCCCTTCCACTCCAACCTCTGCTGAAGGTCCAGCCCCCTGACACCATTCAGGTCTGAGCCCACATTCGTCTTACCTGGGGGCTTGGTGTAACAATCTCTGTCCCTGCACCATCCCCATCCTCTCCTCCCTCCCCTGCTCCCCCTTTTGCCCCTGAGACAGAGTATCTCCTGGAAGGCGTGCCTGAAGTCGGGGCTGCGGCAGTAGATGAGTGGGTTGAAGGCCGAGTTAGAGTATCCCAGCCAGTTGAGGAGTCTGAAGAGCAGCTTAATATCCCCTAAACTGAGGAAGGTCATGAGGATGTTGAGGATGAAGAAGGGTAGCCAACACAAGGTGAAGGTTCCCATGATGATCCCAAGAGTTTTTACAGCCTTGTGCTCCTTCAAACAGAACTTAAGACGTTTTGCAGCAGAGTATTTTCCTTCACCTTTTTCTGTCCTTCCTCTGCTTTCTGCTATATGTTCCCCCTTCCCTGTGTCTGTATCTCCTGTTTTCTGCATGTTTAGTCTCTCCTCTTCCTCCTGAGTTCCTGTTTGTTTGTTCAATGCTGGACTATCTTCTGGATAAGACAGCTGTACAGCGTAATGCAAGTGAGAAAAGTGCCTCTCCCTCCCTCTAATCTTCTCCAGCTGTTTTCTGCGCCTCCTGGAAGACCCTGGCGTATAGGAAAATCATTACCACCAGCGGCAGGTAGAAGGACACGATCGAGGAAGACACCGCGTACGCTGCGTTGGTGTTGAAATCACAGCAGTACTTGTCCTCCAAGCACCGCTTAGCTTCATCATCGTATGACATCGACAGCTTCAGATGGATGGGCAGGAAGGAGATGAGGGAGGCCACCGCCCAAACGCAGAGGACCACTGCAAAGGCCCGACCCCTAGCAGGAGACAACAGAGAGTGCACAGGTGAGGACTATTGTAACAAGGTGAGTGGAAACACAGACAGGTGACAGATGTAGATTTAGAAATGGGGTGGCTTTCTAAAAGTGTAATAAAGTCTCTTTAAAAGCAATGTGATAGTATCAATTTGTTAGCAAAACTAACCTTCTGTCATATCTGTGCACATCCTAAGTTTAATTGTTATTCACTGAGTTAGCATTACACTGCTATAACATTGTCAGAAAGAAGAACCAGAGGTATTTTCCTTGTTCTCTACATTCTTCTCCCCTTGTCAAAACTTGTGACAGAAATGCAGAGATTCAGCTGTGCTATGCTAATAGCTGCTAATGTAGCTTTTAACTGCTAGCCTCAAGCAGAGAAAGGGGGATGGCTGCTTTATTACTCCACACCCGTTGATTCTTTTTCATTGGCAAACTTATAAAGTCAGTACCAGCCAACGCTGACTCAAGCAACATCACTCAAGTCCATGTACAGGATATTGCGCTGCTTCTTTTTAAGCCACAAAGGCTGCATTCCGCTTTTTATGCAGAAACATAACATATAACGCTTTCCAAATAATGAGAAATACACTTGCTACTTAAAGAACAATACAACAAAACTGTTACCTATTTGGACCAAACCAATATAAGCAGAGGGGAGGATATAACAAACGCCGACTTAAAGACAGAAAGTTAGTGTTGTCTATGGATGACAGAAGATGAAAACACCTGCTGTGACATCACTTTTTGGGTGTGGTTGGATGCACAACATGACAGAAAGCATGTAACGGGTGGGGCAGCAGCAGCTCTTTTATTACTTTGTACTTCTGCTTATTTAGTAAGATTCACTTATGATTGCAGTGTCTCAACCTTGCCAATCTTTCAACACATCCAAACCAAAAAGTCTTGGTCATACCTGGTGATTAGCGTTGGGTATCGGAGAGGCGAGGTGATGGCGAGATATCGGTCCACAGCGATCACACACAGAGTTTCGATGCTGGCCGTCACACACAGCACGTCAGTTGCGGTCCAGAAGTCACACATGAAGTTTCCAAACTGCCATTTTCCCAGCAGGATGTAGCTGGAGCCAAAGGGGACCACAACCAAACCCATGATGAGGTCGGCCACAGCCAGCGAAGCAATGAAGAAGTTAGTGATTTTCTGGAGCCTCTTAAACCGCAGGATGGCCGTTATCACCAGCACGTTACCTGGACAGAAGAAAAGATATACATAGTAATGTAACTGGAAGTTGTCGAAGTTGCGTTGATCCTTCTATAACAATCAACTAATCGCATTGATTACATTTTGTGTAACTTACCAAAAACTATGGCCAGAACCAGAATAGCCATTGCGCCCAGCAACACGAGCTCTGCATCGCTGTACTCCGAGGATCTCTCTGGCAAATCTGATACAGTGGAGTTGCTGTCCTGTGATTGGTTAGCCAGTGCTGAGACAGCACCTGCATGTTCCATGATCTACGTGAGGAGCATATCAACACAATTAACTTCATAGATTAACACAGCAGAGAGAGCGCAAGTGCATGCCAGTTCCGGTTTCCAGTCCTTCTTTACACATTCAATGTTTCTGCTTGAGGCCTGTTGCTTCCCAGAGACAGTATGATAATGACGTGAATAGAGTTAGACTATTTGTAAATCAGGAGATGATTCATACTGCTGAAGAACATGCCGAATTGCATTTAAATTGGAGCAGCATGAAGAACGCCTTTCATGTCAGCCGCTGAGTGCTCCCTTTTGGGTTGAGGTCATAAAACTATATGCGCGCTTTCACAGAGGAAGTTATATGTCCCTCGTTGTTCTCACGTTTTCACCAACTTTAGTAGTCTGCATGCCTTTGGGTCTTTATCTCCCTGTGGTAACTTGCAATCAGCATTTTGTTCTGCTATGTATGTGGTGCAATAGCTTTATTTATCATGTCGAATTTACTATTTACCAAAGTGTTTCAGTCAATCATAATGTACACGTTATTATGTTTTGAAAAAATAGCATAGGCTGCTCTAATCCTGCAGCAGTGATGCATTTGCCTCAGGATCAACTGGCAGGGCAAGACCATACAGTGCATTTATTATACTTATATTACACATTAAGGCTTTATTACATTACATTACATTGCATTTAGCTGACGCTTTTATCCAAAGCGACTTACAATAAGTACATTCGACCAACAAGATACAAACTTGAAGAAAACAGAATCATATAAGTACATCAGGTTTCATAGAGCCAAAACATTTCAAGTGCTACTCAACTGGCTTTAGATAAGCCAGTACTTTATTAGTATATAAGTGCTCTGTTAGCAGTTCTTTGTTAGTAATTCTATCGCTCGAAGTGGAGTCGAAAGAGATGAGTTTTTAGTCTGCGCCGGAAGATGTGCAAGCTATCTGCTGTCCTGATTTCAATGGGGAGCTCATTCCACCATTTTGGAGCCAGGATAGCAAACCGACGTGTTTTTGCTGATGGGAACTTGGGTCCCCCTCGCAGTGAGGGTGCAGTGAGCCGTTTGGCTGATGCAGAGCGAAGTGCACGCGCTGGGGTGTACAGTTTAACCATGTCCTGGAAGTAGGAAGGGCCAGATCCATTCACAGCATGGTACGCAAGTACCATTGTTTTGAAGTGGATTCTAGCAGTTACTGGAAGCCAGTGAAGTGAGCGGAGGAGCGGTGTGGTGTGGGAACATTTTGGAAGGTTGAAGACCAGACGAGCCGCTGCATTCTGGATGAGCTGGAGAGGTCGGATGGCACATGCAGGTAGACCAGCCAGGAGGGAGTTGCAGTAGTCTAGGCGTGAGATGACGAGAGCCTGGGCCAGAAGCTGCGTCGCTTCCTGGAGGGGACGTATCCTCCTGATGTTGTAAAGAGTGTATCTGCAGCAGCGGGTTGTGGCAGCGATGTTTGCAGTGAAGGACAGTTTGTTATCTAGGGTCACACCCAGATTCCTTGCAGTCTGAGTCGGGGAAACAACAGAGGGGCCGATGTTGATTGTTAGGTCAAGAGTGGGACAATCTTTTCCCGGAAGAAAAAGCAGTTCAGTCTTGTCAAGGTTGAGCTTGAGGTGGTGAGCAGACATCCACTGAGAGATGTCAGCTAGACAAGCAGAGATGCGTGCGACGACCTGGGTTTCTGAGCGTAGCAGTGGTATGAAAAACCATGCGGGCTAATAATAATAATAATAATAATGGGTTCCATTTATAAAGCACTTCATATTCGAATTCAAATCCCGAAGTGCTACAAGCAGTGAGCATGAACAGTATAAATAGACATGACACAACACGGTAGAATTAATAAAAAGCAATAAAAAATAAATAAAAATAAAAATAAAAGGGTGGTAAAAAGGTCTAGGCAAAGGCTCTTTTGAAGAGATGGGTTTTGAGGCCTTTTTTTAAAAGCCTCCACGGTCTGTGGTGCTCTCATGTGGTCGGGGAGAGCATTCCACAGACTGGGAGCAGCCGAGCAGAAGGCCCGGTCTCCCATAGTACGGAGCTTAGTCCTGGGGGGTTTGAGCAGGTTGGAGTTGCTGGAGCGGGTGGTCCGCAAGGAGGTATGGGTGGTGAGGAGTTCCTTGAGGTAGGGAGGGGCAGTTCCATGGACACACTGGTGGGTGAGGACGGAGACCTTGAATTCGATCCTCAGTTCCACGGGTAGCCAGTGTAGTGCTTTAAGGATGGGGGTGATGTGGTCATATTTGCGCACCCTCATCAGGATCCTAGCAGCGCTGTTCTGGATGTACTGGAGCTTCTGGATGCTTTTGTTAGGGATCCCGATGAGGAGTGCATTGCAGTAGTCCAGCCTGGAGGAGACAAAGGCGTGGACCAGCTTTTCGGCGTCAGACAGAGTGAGTGTGGGGCGGAGTTTGGCGATGTTCCTGAGGTGATAAAAGGAGTTCTTGCACAGCTGTTTAATGTGGGCCTCAAAGGTCAGATGGGTGTCCATTTTAACACCCAGGTTGGTGACTATTGAGGAGAGGGTAATGTCCTGGCCGGAGAAGGTGATGGTGGTGATGGTGGATGACCGAACCTGGTGTGGGGTGCCAACTATAATGGCTTCGGTCTTGGAGCTGTTGAGTTTCAGGAAGTTTTGCTTCATCCACGCCTGTATCTCCTCCAGGCAGGCAGTGAGTGTGGGTGAAGGCAGGGCTGCAGAGGAGGTAGGGTTGATCCTGAGGTACAGTTGGGTGTCATCAGCGTAACAGTGGAATGATACTCCATGTCGGCTGATGATAGTGCCAAGGGGGAGCATGTAGAGTGTGAAGAGGGTGGGGCCGAGAACTGATCCTTGAGGGACACCACAGGTGACGTTGTGGGTACCCGACTCTGCCTCGCCCAAGGAGACGTACTCTGTTCTCCCGGTGAGGTATGATCTGAACCAGTCAAGGGGAGAGTCAGAGAGTCCGATGGTGGAGTGCAGACGATGGAGGAGGATGCCGTGATCGACGGTGTCGAAAGCTGCAGTGAGATCGAGGAGGATGAGGAGAGAGGGAGAGCCAGCATCAGCCGTCATCAGCAGGTCGTTGGTGACCCTGACCAGGGCAGTTTCTGTGCTGTGGCCTGAGCGGAAACCAGACTGGAACTTCTCAAATAGGTTGTTGGAGTTTAGGTGGTCCTGGAGCTGAGCAGCAACTAGTTTTTCCAGCACCTTTGATAGAAAAGGAAGGTTGGAAATGGGTCTGTAGTTGGCCAGGACTCCCGGGTCAAGGGAGGGTTTTTTGAGACGAGGTTTGATGACAGTGGTTTTTAGGGCAGAGGGGACATGGCCAGCCTGGAGAGAGAGGTTTACGATCTTAGTGATCATGGGGCTCATGGTACAGATGTACGATTTCACAAGAGCTGACGGAAGGGGGTCCAGGACACAGGTGGAGGGCTTCATCCTCCTAACGATGCCCTCAACCTCTCGCTGAGAGATGTCCGTGAAACAGCGAAGAGGCTGGGTTGTCCCAGGCTGTGGGTCAGCAGTTGGAACTGGAGGTGCAGAGGGGCTAGAGAGGAGGGAGCGGATGGTGTCAACTTTGTTTGTGAAGAAGGCGGCGAAGTTGCGACAATGCTTCTCAGTGGAGTCGGAGTGTAAAGGACTTTGGGGTTTGAGGAGGTGGTTAATGGTGGAGAAGAGTTGCTTGGAGTTTCCAGTACTGTTGTTGATGAGGGAGGAGTAGTACTGGGACCGTGCATCTCTGAGGGACTGTGCGTAGGCCTTCTGGTGTTCACGATAGGAGCAACCTTACATTTTTATGCGGACGATACCGTGATGTACTGTGCAGGTCCCTCCATTAAGGAGGCTGTTGTTGAATTGCAAGCTGCTTTTAACATTATTCAGACTCAGCTCTCAGCGCTTAAGCTTCTTTTAAATGTGGATAAAACCAAGGTAATGCTCTTTTCAAAAGCTAAAAAGACACCAGAGCCTGTTTTAGATATTTTAACTACGCAAGGAATAAAACTTGAAGTGGTTGCCTGTTACAAATACCTTGGTATCTGGCTTGATGATTGTCTCACTTTTAAATGTCATGTCAATAACCTGCTTAAAAAACTGAGGGTTAGGCTAGGTTTCTTCTACAGGAACAAGTCCTGTTTCTCGCTCGAGGCCAGAAAAAGGCTAGTCACTGTGACCTTTTTACCTGTGCTGGACTATGGTGATCTGATTTATATGAATGCACCTGCCAATTGCCTGGTCAAGTTAGATGCTGCGTATCACAGTGCACTGAGATTTGTGACAAACTGTAAAGCATTAACCCATCACTGTACCCTGTATGCAAGGGCTGGTCTGCCTTCACTAACTGCACGGAGGCTCAGTCACTGGTACATTTTTATATATAAAGCCATGTTAGGGAAACTTCCATCCTACATCTGCTCCCTGATCTCACGGCGAATTGTAAGTGGCTACTGCCTGAGATCGCATGCTGTGGTTTTATTAAATGTGCCAACTGCTAGGACTGTCTTAGGGAAAATAGCATTTAGATGCGCAGCTCCACTGTCCTGGAATAGTCTGCAATTAAAATGGAAACTGAGCAATCTGGTGCCACTCAATGTTTTTAAAGCTCGGTTGGATGCTACTCAATCGGAAGCTGTTGGTACCTGTTCATGTGGATAGTTATGTAAATTGTAATCCCTGTAATGCTACTGTATGATGTCCTTTTGTTGTTCTGTTTATGTTTTTAATGTTTCATGTGGAACCTACTTGAGCAGGTCTCCCTTGAAAAAGAGGTCAATGATCTCAATGGGATACAACCTGGATAAATAAAGGTTTGAAATGAAATGAAATGATAGGCTAACTGGTGAACAGTGAGTCATGACAGATCCGAGCGAGTTTGTGTACAAGGAGAAGAGGCTTTAGTAGAATTTATCATAAAGTATATTACAGTGAGGAGAATACATACATATGTAGTATGTGTAAATATGCTGCCGTAGCACAAAGCCACTCGACTGCTGTTTTCCTCTAACAGCAACTTATTCTTTCCCTCCATTCTGTCTGTTTGTTTATTGTTTGTCGTGCATAGTTTTTTGTTGGTCTTATATAAGGGAAAAGCACCCCTTACTAACTTGAAAAGCTTCTTAGTTAACTGTATCTTCTGTGTGTATGGACACCTGCATTATATGTACATTGGCCTGATTCCAACATATCCAGACACTCACAACTCATGTTAATGCCAGCTGTAAAGAGACGCATTGATTCACAGGTGTTACTCCACTTCTCCCGTGGTCAAGAGTAAAAGTGTTGAATTTCGGGATGCATTTTAAAATGCCAGGCTGGACTAGGACAAGATTTGTATTTAATGACATTCATTTCCCAAGTGGAATGAATGGCTGCCCTTATAAAAGCCGTACACTGTCATTACTGTAGTAATACAGAGCATAAGTATCAGTGTCATCTTTCCTAAAATGTCCTCCGCACATTACCATTTAGAGAATATACAGGTACCAGAGAAAGTGATGGATCATCTACCGAACAGTGGACTGCAGAGTAATTTCAAAAATCAATCTTTCATTACTGCAGCTTAGAAGGCTATAATTGTAATACATGAAGAACCGCACAGTCTGCACCTGATAAATGATAATGCACCTAACCCTAGGCTATACTACCAAAATAATGATTTGGTCTTTTATTCATGTTTTCAAAATGCTCAGGGCACATGTTACTCTGTCACCCTTCACACTGATGGCTCTTTAATGGTCCCTAGTGACTTATTGCCCATTTGATCAGATCAATAATCTGGACCACAACCTGCAGTCATACAAAATAAAGATTGCGAAAGACAAGTGGCTCTCTGCTCTCCCCCCTGTATGAGCTGTTTAAACATTTACACATGCACAAGGACACTAGATTAGGTCTCTGAGGTCAATAATAACAAAATATTTTACGTTGACATCAATATCTCAATATTTAGGCTTGGTTGTAGTAATTGCTGTGAGCACTCAAACACACAACAATGCACACAATAGTACATACACAAGTGCACATGCAAACACAAAAGTACACATGCACGCAGGACACCGAGCTTCTGCAGTGCTTAATAGAATAAACTGATGACAGCAGATCAAACTGTGGGGGAAGAAAAACACGTCTTTCTATACAAAGGATTCTCTAATCAAAACTGAGCCATAAAACATGCTGCTGTCCTGATATGACTTAACCATAAATGTTAAAGATGAAAGCTTGTTTGGATTCACTCAATGTGAGAAGTTAATGTTTACATTTTTTATTGAAATGATTCAGTAGACTTGCTGATTTGTTTATGGAATTGAGCTCATCATTAAATTAACCACGTTTGAACCATTACACACTGAAATGAGGTCTTAAAATAGCCATGGTGTCATCTCTAGATGTTTTAAATATATCAATCTATATATATTTATTCACTTTATTTAAAGTGTATGAAGCATATATAAAAGAATGTAACATTTATATAGTTTTCCTACCTTCAGGCTCCGTCCTGTGCTTTACAATCCAGTGATTTGATAATCCCAACACCTTTAAATCCACAGCACAAAGTATCATTATAATGTGTTTGACAGCAGCTTTCGGTCTCTCTCCCTCTCCTGTTGAGTAATGAATGTATGTGTGACACACACTCTCTCACACACTCTGCCTCGCTTTCTGTTTCCTGTACATGTATAACATACACCCTGAGCCCTCGACCACACTTGCCCTTTGGAAGCAGCTGAGCTTGTCACACTTTTTTATAAGCAAGCCCTCGTGACATCACAGCCGGACAGTAGCCAATCAGAAGACAAGGAATGGCTTTTTAGTGTATATCGCATTTCTGCAGTGTACTGACAGCTCGACGGCACCCAGTGCCTTTTGGGAAACATTCGTTTTTTTAACCTGTATTTATTCAGGTTCTCTGAGCTCTCTTTCAGCTCCACCCTACTTAACATTCACACATTAGTCCTGCAGTACAAAACCACAGACTTCTGCGTTTGGCTGCTGTGCAGCTGTACTGCTGCAGTGAAGCAGTTTTAAACATAATGAACCTGAATACCCTTTTGTGCTGTATTCTTATATGCTTCACTTTATCATATAGAGACAAAATAAACCGTTGCATTTATTATCAGAGTTAAACTCACAAAAACAACTTCAGGGTGGGTCGAGGTTGTGGTCATGGTGAGATAAGACATTATGGAAACACAGTAAACAAATGCTTCATGATGTTGAATCCAGGTTAGAGGTTCTTTATAAATATAAAATATCAGACAGCTTCTCAACAACCTACCTCTTATTGTTGTTTTTTTAACTTAATTTGAGTTTGGTTGACTATACTAAACCACACAGCTTAACATGTTATTCAAGCATATTATATTTGTTTTATTTCACATATCTTCATTGTAGTTGAATTATATTTTTAAGGAATCCAACATGTGCTTCATGTGTCATTGATTGCAGCGTTTTGTCTGCTTTATGCTAATGATAACCTGCTTGTATACACAACAAAAGCCTCCCACACATGCAACAAATTTGTTACAGTTCAAACAAGTTAAATCCAGCATCCAAACAACCCATCACAAATAATTAATTCATGCTGCATAAGTAGGCAATTTTTGTTTGAGTTCAACCTAGTTCACAAAAAAGAACAAACATAACTTTATGAGTAAAGTCATAGTATTTCCACAGAGTACACCCTGCCATCCATGTGATGCGGCATTGTTTTTTTACCACTTTGTCAAACACAAGACTTCCAGCCAGTATTCAGGTTAAGAAAGAAAGCGAATTATGTTCTGTCTAATTTGTCATGTTCTTTTGCCAGAGAAAACTTGAAACACCTCAGTGAGAGTTTTACTCATGGTTTTCTCTTTATGTTTTCATTCTTCATTCTCTGCTCCTCTAATCATATACTTACTCTTCATCATGTATCAGGGCAATTTTCAGAAAATAACCAGAGCAACATTCGTGTGGCCAAAATAGCTGATATTGATGCAGTAAGTGTGAATATGAGCTCTGTGATTCATCTTCCTCGAGTCAAATCTGCAGTCAGTATTCTGGCAGGGAAGTGTAACTCCGCCAGTTCAATATTTGCATAGTAGATGGTACAGGGACTGACAATACCAATATTTTTGGAAGGAAATAATCGCCCCAAGCAATATTTGGCCGGCCTTTTTTATTTTATTTTTTCAATTCATTTATGTACTTTAATGACTGCTTTTGAAATCATTTTTCTGTTAAAAAAAATGTGTTTATATTTCAAACAAAGTACATGTATAGACACACTAAGTCAATAAATAAATGTAAAAAAGGGACTTGTTTGCAGAGTGAAAGGACACACACACACACACACACACACACACACACTCACACACACACACACACACACACACACACACACACAACACACACACACACACACACACACACACACACACACACACACACACACACACACACACACACATCTGTATCTCTGTGATTCTGAATAAAAAATAAATAAATTGACCAGCTGTATGCATTGGGGCACCAGCACACACATGTTTTGTAGCATGTGGGGCATCATTACATTTGAGTCCACCAGTGTGTGTGTGTGTGTGTGTGTGTGGTGTGTGGTGTGTGGGTGTGTGGGTGTGTGTGTGTGTGTGTGTGTGTGTGTGTGTGTGTGTGTGTGTGTGTGTGTGTGTGTGTGTGCAATGGTGCGCTAAAGGTCAAACACTGTGACATTGTATCAGTAGCGCTCATAAAATGAATTTAGGGGAACACTGGACACATCGTAAAGCTCCGGGTAGCCCTGCACTAAAACGGTTGAATTCTCCTCCATATTTACTGTGGACTGATTTATTTTTTTATTTTATTTATCCCTTAGTAAAATAGCACGCTAAACGCTAAACTAAACAGATAATTACATTAATTATCAAGTCTGAAAAATACTTTTATTTGAACAGCCAAAAGAACAAGTCTTAAGACACAACATAGCATTTTTCTATTGTAGATCGCGGTTAATTTAATAGTTTAAAACAACTAGCTTGTGAATAAAATGTTTTACAATCCCCTACCAATATACCACTTACCTCAACATTTAAGACAAGACATTGCACCATTTTAGAGTGTAAATCAAATAGTTCAGGGCCGTGCTCTGGCCACATCTGGCATTGAGTGTAGCCATTATATGGGTCAAAATGAAGCCTATTTTACATAAACAATTTGTCTTGTAGTAGGAAAGGCGCAAGGTTGCTGAAAAGATTGGTTTCCATCCGTCATGGGGTTTAGGTAGGACATCTTTTGTTCGTCATCAGACCGCCGGCCTGCTGAGTATCTGGTAGAGCAGCGAGGCTTGGTGTTTATTCCCCAGATGCAAAACCATTTCCTCAACACTCTGTGCCGTGACATTACCAACAACAATAACAATGGCCTTTTGGTCCTTTCAACGTTCCCAGTAGGTCAGCTTGCACGATACCAGGAAAATGAAGCAACTGATGGAATTCAGCCTTTATTTATGTTTTTCATTACACCTTTAATTTTCCTTCTGACACTTGTCAGAATCTCTGCTGTAAGAAATAATATATGTAATGGTTTTAAATACTTCTGTACTTTGACGAGAACTGACAATTACAGAACGAGCTACGGTTCTTTTCCCCTTTTTTCCAAATGATATTTTTTGTTCTCCGTCAGTTGGGAAGGTGGACCTTGGAAATGTTTTAACAATCAGAACTGGACCTTTAGTTAAAAAAGGTTGAGAACCCGGTCTCTATTGTCTGCACTGCATCAGACACGTCATTTTGTCTGTGCCAACACGTTTCATACTTTATAGAAGTCTTGCCACCATAAAGAGAGGGAGATCGGCAGCTCTTTTCATGTTTTTCTCTAAGAAAATTAGGTAATATAGTGAAACTGGCAGTACTGAATATAAAAATGTTGATATTGGAAGCAACAGTTTTAAACAAAATATTGTTTTCTTTTCCCAGAAAATGAGTAAGAAATAAGGCAAACTCTCAGACTTTTTATCATTCTTTTTTCAGTGTAGATACAGCTCATGATGTAAACCCATATTAAGTTATCAAATTATTCAGTTTAACAGCATTAGATAGTCCTCTGTTTGTTTTTACAGGTCAATGTTGAGACCTTGGAGCCTGCAAGCCTTTTATCGAAAGAGCTGAACACTCGCAGAGGAAACCACACGAAGAACAAAAAACATGCGGTGGCCCCGACTGGTGTCGATGCAACCCTCTCTACTTCCTACCTTTATGTCTCTGTGGCTATTTCCTTCTGTCTGTCTACCCCCAACACATTCCTCTCTCCACCTCTTCCTGTCCTGGTCCTATCCCTTCCTCTCTCCCTCTCATACTTTCTCTTCCTCACCTTTCAATTCCTAAGTTTCCATCCGTTGATGTCACAGCTCTGGTTCCTATACAGATCCCATTCTTGTCTGTAATTTGCCCGTTGTTCTTGGTCCCCTGCAGGGCCGGCCCTTGGTATAGGCAGTATAGGCGAATGCTAAGGGCGCAAAAATTGGGCAGAACAAAATTTAAAAAGTTAGAAATTAAAAAAAAAAATTATTTTGAAATTTCATAACAACACAATTTCCCGATTTTGGATCAACAAAGTACATCTTATTATCTTATACTAACAGAACTGCGCCTATATTGCGTACAGCACCCATAAACTATGGCACACACCCCCCCAAAATCAAGTTGAACTGCCCCAGCCCCAGTAAAAACCAGAGGTTTATGTGAAATTGTTCTTTTTTTGAAATAATGGTTTTAGTATGCAATTATAGGTTTTAATTTTGTATTTGTGTTCATTTAAAATAAATCAAACTCCCAAAAAACGTATACAGCTTCTGTGTGCTTTTATTAACATTGGAATTTACTGTGTAAGCGGCCGCGGGGGGGAGAGCTTCAGAGAGCTCTCTCCTGAAAGACTGAGAGGCTCTGATAACCTCAGCTCAGTGAGGTAAAAGCACACCTTTATATAATCATTATAGTTATAAAAAAATAAGAGAATAGGTGAAAAACAGGTATAAAATACTATATGACAGAACAAAAAAGTTAAAATCTTGCCGAGGGCAGCAAACTGGTCCCCTGTTATGAACATTGCATCATTCTTGGTCCATTTGACTGACGCACTGATGTGGTATTAATGACTTTTAAGGAAGTTGTGCCAGTATAACACACTTTGGCATACAGTACTTGTTATCAATTGTAATCACCAATTTAATTTTGATAAACACAATAAACACACATCTTCCTTGAAACTCAAAATACCTGCAAAACTTCGCTCACACGCTTTGCTTTGATTTAAACGTTTACATCCTGCAATACAACATCTGTTATTATCAGTTAAAGTCTTAGGACCAAAAATAAGCAGTCATACATCAGCTGACAACCATTTACTGAGTTTATTGAGAATCTGGTGATCTGGCGCAGGGCAGGCAGTGAGGAGAGAGCTGTGGGATGGGAGACAGATTGGCGAGGGGCTGGGGAGACGGGCAGATTATAGGAATGAACCTGAGGCAGAAACACAAGGAAATATCAAGAGTTCAGTTTTGCAACACTGAACTAACTGGTAAAGTCTGGAGGGAAACGCCAATTCATTAACGGCAGGAGCTTCATGAGTGATGGTTTGCAATCAGCTAGTAGGATAGAAACCAGGACCAAAGCCATATCTGCTGATAGCATCTAAAATGGCTCTAAAGTAAAAAAAAGAAATAACACAC